TCAGTCAACAAATATTTTTGAGCATCTATTTCCTGTCTGGTACTCTTCTAGATCCAAAGAGACAAAACTGGAATTACTGTTTGAGCCCAGAACACCCAAATGATGGGATAACTATGAAGATATGAAAAAGTAAAAGCTATTGTGTATCACTAGTATTGTTGATGCTCTGAATCTGGGGCCTTGCTGGATTTGGAGACACTGCCTCTCCCAGGGTTACTTAATCCCTAGATTAGCAAATTAGTTTCCTGGGAGTTTCCCTTTCATATGCAAACGAACTAATCCAAGCTCAGACCCACCGCCTACTTTCACTGGAGAAGCCACTTTCTCCCTTGACCCCAATCACCCCAGGTCCAGTACCAGCCAATCAGGGGCAGTCTCTTTATTCAAACTAGCCAATCCTGAGCCGGATGAGCCTGCTTCTCCTGCCTTCACCATTCCTTCCCTGGATACCTACAACAAAAGCCCAAGCTTTCCTGTAGCTTCTTCTGTCTCCTGACAAACCCTGGAACCACACATACTACCCCCTCTTTTTGGGAACTGTCAGTGACAAACTATAGCTTCAGTGGCAGTTATCTCCTAGTCTGTGGCGGTACCACACCGGAATAATAATAAGACCTAATTTTAAAACATGTAGAATCTGATCCCATTTTATTTTTTGAAAAAAAAAATATTGAAGTGCATGTGTGATTGTTGTACAAGTTTCAAAAAATAAATGAAAATTCATGGAAAGAGAGACCAAAAAATTTAACAGTAATTATATTGAGGAGTGTATTCCATCGCTTGGAGGAAGAGAGGCAAAGACTATATTCATTGTACTTTGACCATTGTTAATTGGATCCCTATAAGGAGCATGCCTTACTTTTGTAAGAAAATAAGACAGACAAACATATGTGTTTTGCATTTCATTTCACTCTTCCGCTCTCTGCGCACCTCCTTCCCTGTCACACCTGAGCTGCATGCACCTGAAGCTTCTTGGAGCTCCGCCAGGCTGCTCAGCTGTCTGCTTGTAGACAGGCCCTGCCTCCTCTGGACGGCAGCTTCTCCACCTTGCTTCATATTGCACCTTCTTCAATTTGTTGAAATTTTTAGTCTGCTGGGTGCTTCTGCCTCTGTCACTGACATGGTGGGATTTGCACCTTTTTATTACTTACAACAATTTTAATGGGATCACCAGGAGTCAAGAAATAGAGAATCATGGAAGCTTGGAGATCTCTTCAGACAGGAAGTTGCTGAATAAGTGTGAGAATCCAGTATCTTGACACATCAGTGAATGTGACTGGGTATAGAAGTGTGGTGTGTTAATCATTACCTTTTGTCACTATGACAAAATACCCGACATAATCAATTTAGTAAAAAAAAAAAAAAAGGCCTATTTTGATTCACAGTTTCAGAGGTTTCAGTTCATGGTGATTTGACTCTGTTGCCTGTTACCTGAGGCAGCACAGTATCTCATGGTGGGTAGCACACATAGAGAAATCCTACTTGCTTCGGGGCAGCTGAGAAGAAAAAGAGAGATAGGAAGGGGCTGGGTCTCAATATCCCCTTCAAGAGCAATGACCTAACTTTCTCCAACTAGGCCCCACCTCCAAGTTGGAGAAAGGTTCCACCACTTCTCATAGTGTCACAGGCTGAGGACCAAACCCTTGAATACACGTGCCCTTGAGAAATATTTCAGATCCAAACTATAATAATTAGCCACAAGCAGGTCCAGCCTTTGACAAAGACCCTCACACCGAGATGGGCCTGGCCTTGAAAAACAATGAATCTTCATTTATAGGGGCCACTAGAAATTCAATTCAAAAACTGACTACTTGGAACCAACCTGCCTGGAAAAACTGCTGGCATAGTAGGCAGGGAGTTGGTGGGGAAAGGGAGGGGGTTTCTAGCACAAACAGTGTTGAAGTGGCATCCCTTTCTCCACAGAAAAGTCTTAACTGGGCTTCTCCAGAAATCTTCACCAGGCTGATTTTAGGACTGTCAGCAAAAGAGTCTCTGCAAAAGAGTTCAATGTAGGTAAACTTCCTATTTTCATATCACCCTGTTTTACTTGGTCACTGGCCAGGAAGATATCATCACTCCAGGTGCTGGACACCCCCTTACTAGTTTTTCACAAACATGTATCCAGTATATTAGTTTGTAGAAATGTGCAAACAAGGCCTCTGGCCTTGAGCTGGGCTTCACAGAGATGTCTACATTTTTAAGATAAGTTACAAATGAGCCCATGGTAACAGCTGGCAGGGGGAGGAAAGAAAGGGGAGAAAAAGCTCTCCCCTTCTCAGGGGTTGTCCTTGAAGGGTTAACTTGCTCAACACAGTGAAATAAAAAGCTGCTTTTATGTGAACTTCTGAGCCCCTCCCCTTACATGCTGGGTATAAAGTTCTGAAACTCCCTGAACTTGGGATTCAGGGGATTGATTGATTGTAGCAAAGACTGTACCCTCTGAACCTGGCTGCAGCCAAATAAAACTGTTTCCTGCTATCTTCGGTTTGTCCCTACAACAGTGTCTCATCCTGTCATGTGCAGAACAGCAGTCCTGTAGGGAAGATGGTTTCCGGAAGTATCGTCTGGGTTCAGGCCGCCTGTATGAGAGGTCTGCCCAAGTTCTGGGGTAGGCAACCAATGCGAGGTGCGCCATTTATTTACCCAATGTTTGTGGACCTCCTTCTCTAGGCCTAGCAGGCAAGTGATGGTCTGGATGAAGATGAGAATCCACAGCTACTCAATGCAAAGTGCTCAGGGAGCACAGACAGGAGTCTGTCATCCAGCTGCCCGAGAGATATCACTCGCCAGTCATGTGATCTTTGGCTGGTTGCTTAACTTCTGAGTCTCATCATTCTTGTTTTAAAAATAAAATATTTTGGCATACTATAGCAATACATGCATGCATACCCATGTGAGTAGCAGCACAATTCACAATGGCCAAACTATGGAACCAGCCTAGATGTCCATCAACAGATGGAAATGAGGCACATATACACAATGGAATTTTATTTAGTCATAAAGAAGAATGACATCATGTCATTTGTAGGAAAGTGGATGGAATTCGAGAATGTTATGTTCAGCAAAATAAGCCAAACTCAAGAAAGTCAAGGGCTGTACGTTTTCTCTCATGTGTGGAAGCTAGAGAGGAAAAAGAAAAAGTTAGAAGGGAATCTCATGAAAATCAAAGGGATATCAACAGAGTATAGGAAAGGGCCAGGGGAAGGGAGGAGAGGAGAGAAAGGGGAAATACAAGGGAATGATATTGACTAAATTATATTGTTAACATTGGGTGCACGTGCAAATATGTAACAATGAAGCCCACCATTATGTACAATTATAATGCACCAACAAAAATGGGAAAAAAAATTTTAAATAAAATATTAGAGCCTAGCTCCCAGGGTGGTTGCCTGCCGTCTTAGATGAAATATAACCCTGTATACTGAGTAAGCACTCAATCATGTCCCAGAGAGCTCACTGCTTACGCTGCAGGCCCCTGACTTTCTAGAGGAGTGGATTGTCTTTCCTGTTGAGTGTGTAACTGGCTTCAGAGATTGGCTATGAGACCTTTGGACATTTGAACAGCTCAGACTGTGCTGGGCTCAATTGTGCCTGAAGGCAGACTGCAGATTTGATTTAGAATATTGCAAAGCGTGTGTGTGACGGGGGAGCATCTGAAGCCATTGAAACTTAGCAATTGAACCTGCCCATATATGTGGAGCAAGAGGGAAACTAATTCCTCTGTCTCCCAGGCCCTTCCTATTTTGGCACATTCTAGCTGGTGCTGAAGGAAAGGGCAGTTTTTGCAACTGAAGAGTTGATAAACAATATTGTTGGGTTTATCTGGATCCTCGGATCTCAGGATTTTGAAGTATGTTAGGCAAACACCTAGCAGCAGATAAGATTTTTCTCTATTTCCTGGATGGATAGTCAGAGGCTCAGTCGACAGGCTGTAACAGATCCAAGAACACAATCTAGGTCAAGTGCCTTAGAGACAAGAAGGGATGTCGCAGATGCGCCTATGCAGTGGCTTTCAAATGTGAGTGCTCAAAATTCACATGAGAAAGCCTCTCAAATTCCAAATTCCTGGGTCTCACCACAAGAGAATCTGATTCAGAAATCTGGGTGTGGGCCCTGAATTCCAAGTTTTAACCTTGGCTCTCAGGTGGTATGTTTATCACACTTTGACAACTACTGGTCTAGTGGAGTCAAAAGATGTGCCTTCTATTTGGGGTGCGGCCCCTGAGTGGCCAAGAGGACCACTTCTAGGGGTTTAAACCAAGGACAAAAATCTATAAAATTCACAACTCAAAATTTTATCTTCTAGGGAGAAAGGCATGGCAGAATGCAAACTCAAAGTTTTTAGCAAACTCTTTTTACCAATAAGGCAAAGTTGACTTCTCAGGGTGAGATTGGTTCTGCAGGTATACAAGAAACCGCCTGCAGCCCCTCTTTCCAGGCATCCCTGAACCCAGATCATGTTGACAGGCACAGAGGCTGTACTTCCAACTTCTAGCGGTTCCAGGGGTTTCTTGGCCTGTGGCTAAATCCTTCCAATCTCTGCCTCCATCTTTGTGTGGCTTCTCCTCTCTGTATCTCGAATCTCTCTCTGACTTTCTAAGAACATTTGTCATTGGATTTAGGGCCCTCCACAATAACTCAGGAAGATCTTATCTCCAGATCCTTAATTACATCAGCAAAGAGCCTGTTTTCAAATAAGTCCACCTTCCTAGGCTTCAGGTAGACATATCTCTTTGGGCAGGAGGTCACTATTCAAGCCATTACATCTTCCTATCACCTGTCACTATGATCATTAGCTGTTTGTGGCATGAGTTAAGGTCAGTTTACTCCACAATAGTAAGATGTAAAGGAAGGGAACTTGGATACAGTTTCTGTAATGTTCAGTGCCTGGAACACACTAGATACTCAATTTTTGTTTAATGAGTGAATAAATTTTTTTTTTTCATTGATCTTCATATAGTGGCGCAAAGCTGACCAGCATAGTATTGTGATAGCATAAGTCTCTCTTCAGCACTCTTTATTTTTCAAAAACACCTTTCAGGTCAATTGCAGAACATTGCACTTGAGCCTCATTGTTGTCAATGTCTGTAAAGACCCCAAACATCTCCCCCTGCCCCTTCTCTTTGGAAATGTTGAGCAAAGTTCCCTCTACCTAGGGATGAGTTTGGGAAGGAGTGCCATGTCACAAGATTGAGTCTTATCTTCTCATTCAGAAAATGGTGCGTGTTTGATTTAGGTGAGATCTTCATTTCCAGTTCATCCTTCTCTGCCCTGTGTCATTCTTGGATGAGTGTAGGGAGGCCACCGAGAAGCCTGTAGGCACAGGCTTGCCCTGAGTGGGCTGCCCCTCCTTTCATTGTGGATAAGGCCGGCGGTGCTTCTCTGGGAGCCTTCCCTGATGCTCAGGAATCTCTCTAAGCTCCATTCTTCTCCCTAAAGCACTCCAGGCCTGTTCCCTTGTGAAGTGGATGATGGAAAGATTTTCTCACTCCTTCCCATCCAAGGACTTGAGTCAAAGGCGCCACGAGGAGTGCACTGCAAAGGGGAATGAACTCAGGGGTACTCGGCCACATCTCCAGCTCTATTTTGTATTTTTTTATATGTTTTTTTTTTTTTTTAGTTGTAGGTGGACACAATACCTTTATTTATTTATTTTTTTAATGTGATGCTGAGGATTGAACCCAGAGCCTCATCCATGCCCGGTGAGTGCTCTACCCCTGAGCCCCAGCCCCAGCTCCAATTTTGTATTTTATTTAGAGACAGGGTCTCATTGACTTGCTTAGGGCCTTGCTAAGTTGCCAAGGCTGGTTTTGAACTCACAATCCTCCTGCCTCAGCCTCCTGAGCCGCTGAGATTACAGGCGTGCGCCACTGTGCCCAGCCATCAATGCAACGACTTCTAAGAGGTGTCCCCAGTACAACTATATGACGAGGTGAGGTGTTAGGCTATGGGTGAAAGAAATGCAGAGAGCCGCCTGTGTCCCGCCCTCGTGGATTGCATTAAGACCTAACAAGAGGGCTGGAGGGGGTGAGATTGTCCCTCCTGTCTCTTTTATCCCTTCCTCCATGTAAGGATGCCATGCAAAGGTGCTATGAGAAATGGCACCTTTTCAGACACTGAATCTGCCAGCAGCTTGGCCTTGCCAGCTGCCAGAACTGTGAGAAATGCATTTCTCCTGTTTATAAATTGCCCAGCATAAGGTATTTTGTTATGCCAGCAGGAATGGACGAAGACAGAACCCATTTGCACCATTTTTCACCGTTGTGTAATAGACTTTTGCTAGTATTTTATTTAAAATTTGTTCCACTATTGTAAATGATGTTGGTTTTGTGTGGGTGTGCATGCAGCAAGACATCTGTCAAACGTTGGGGCCGGGGTTGTGTTGACTTGGAGAAATGAACTGGAAAGCCCTCCTTTTTCAGTGCTCTGGAGCAATCATAAAGCAGGGACCATTAGTGACACCCACTTGAGCTGGCCTCGGTGAGAATGTGCAAAAAGCAGCCCATATGAGCAGGAGCGAGAGATTCTGGTTGGGGAGGTGTTGGGGATTGGCACGGACTATTCTGTCTCCAGATGTTTGCTGTGTGAAACAGATTGTGTCTCTACCTTCCTGTCTGGCTTACAGGGTAAAATCCACTGACCTCAGAGCTTGCTTGTCAGATTTTTGCAGAATCTTCCAATATATATCCAGGCCATCGCCCCTGAGCTGTTGGTTTTAGCCATACACCAGGGAAAGTAGAGGATGGGGCAGGAGCAATTGGGAACCAGGTCTCACATGCCTCTGAGTTGCTTCATTAGCCAAGGCCGAGGGGTGCAGGTGAGACTTTGATTCACAGGTGGCAGCACGTGTGTGTACAAAGGGCACCAGGCTGCACCATGGAAATGCAGAGTTTCATTGTTGTCTTTAAAAATAATGTTCACAGCTGGTCCTCAAAAAAAAAAAAAAAAAAAAAAACACGGTTATAAGAGGCAAGGAGATTAGGCTCTGAGTCTAGTTTTCTTTATCTTTGTGGAAGAGGAGGTTTCATTTGAAAGGTTTTATCACCAGCCAGTTGACAGGCTACTGCAGTCACTAGCTTCATTTAGAAGGGGACTGGAAAGTAATAAAAATCTCTTCTTATTTTATAGTTCCACCTGTGCCCACTGGATCAGCTAGATGTCCTGAGCTGTGGGGGTGATGAGAGTAAATGGAGAAAAGAATAAGAACCCCAAATGACTCGTTTTAGCCACTCTTTTCAGCTACAGCCTGACAATTATATATATTCATAGGATAATATCTAATATGAAAAATGTCTATAAGAGAAAGAAAGGAAGTGTCATTTCATTTAATAAACAGTTCATTTCAATATATGGACATTTTCACTAAATTATATAAAGTTTTTTTTCCTTCTAAATTTCACCTTGGGGTTTTTGAAGGAAATGCCATTCTGGCATAGTTTTAAATGACCAGATAAAGATTTATAATCAGAATGTAATGTAGCTGGAATAATACTGACATAGAAATAATTGCTTTTCGACAGGTGGTCCTATAGTTTTGTGATTAGACCTACAAATTCAATGTCAGCAAGCTGTCCATAGAGCCCTCCCTGGATCTCAGTGAGGAATGAACTGCTTCTCGGAGATTCTACCTTCTCAAAGCTCAGAGTCTATATAACAGGGTTTCTGGAAGTTCCTTCCACTGTCTTTCCAATGCTATAACATCCACTTTGCACGTACGTGGGACCACAGAGTGAAGCGAATGTGCTTAATTATTTCATATTGAACAAAGAAACAAGGCAACAACATCTTAGAAATTATAAAGAAAAAGCCCTCTCCCAGTAGATCTGCAACATACAACCCTAGGCGAACAGGGTTGTATTCTGCTTAAAGGATCTCTCACAAACATCTATGAAATACCATGTACACACAGACAGCAACTGGCCCACAAAGACTGGTTCATATGAATATCATACGAATACACTATATTTGGAGGCAATGAAGATTTTCATAGATTGGTTGATTCAAGAAATATTAATTGAAAACTCCTGTGTTGCAAGTCCTGCTCTGAGTGCTACTATGGCTACAGCAGAGGACAAAAGAGACAAAAAAAAAGACACAGATGCTAAGACAACTAACATCTAGAGTGTAGATAGTGGTTTGGGCTAAAAAAGGAAGTAGGAGAAGGAAGGGAGAGGGGACTCTGGGAGAGTGTGATCATTTTAGATAGGATGCTCAGGAAAGGCCTCAAGACACAGTGAAAATTAAATAAAGACCTGAAGGAAGCCAGGTGGCTATCTCTCAGGGATGAAGACCACCAAGGTCAGAGTTTGTCTGGTACGTTAAAAGATGCACAGCAAGGGAACCAGGAGGAGGAGGAGGAGGAGGAAGAGGAGGAAAGGGGGGCAGAGATGTAACTGTGGGGTAGAGAACACACTGAAGCCAACAAAAGTGGAAAACCAGTTAGAAGACTGATGCAAAAATCTAGGGAGCAAAGATGAAGGTGCCTGGAGCAGAAAGATCAGAGGAGGGCGTGGTGGCTGGATTTGGAATACACACACACACACACACACACACACACACACACATTTTGGTACCAGGGATTGAACTCAGGGGCACTCAACCACTAAGCCACATCCCCAGTCCTAGGCTGGCTTTGAACTCATCATCCTCCTGCCTCAGCCTTCTGAGCTTCTGGGATTGCAGGCATGCACCACCTTGAATTTGGAACATATTTTTAAGGTTAAACTGATAGCATTTGCTGACCACTTGATGTGGGAGTGAGAGAAGAAGAGAAGTTGAAGATAACTATATAAAATATATCTCGATGTATTTTATATATGTATATGCAATACATAATATATGTATATACACACGAAGTATATTTTTTGCCACAGCTACTTGAAAAATAAAGTTATCATCTGCTGAGATGGGGTGACTGCCAGAAGAACAGGAGGTAGTAGGGTTTTTGTTATTTTTCTGTTTGTTTTGTTTTTTGTTTTGGGTTGGGGAGAGTGGGGGAAGTTGATAGAAATGAATATCAGGAATTTAGGACATGTAAGAGTCTATTTTCCATTATTCTAACAAAATACCTAAAGCCGAGTACCTTAGATAGAAAAGAGGTTTATTTAGCCCACAGTCCTGGAGGTTAAAGAGCATGTGCTGACATCTGCTTGTCTCTGGTGAGGACTTCATATCAGATGGCAGGAGCACATGAGAGGGGAAGAGATCACGTGGCAAGAGAGAATGAGGAGGGACCAGTTGTGCTCTCTTATAACAACTCACATTTTGGGGGGTTACAGGGGATTGAACCCAGGGGTGCTTAACCACTGAGCCACATCCCCAATCCTTTTATATATTTTGTTTAGAGACAGGGTCTCACTGAGTTTCTTAGGACCTCACCAAGTTGCTGAGGCTGGCTTTGAACTTGCCATCCTCCTGCCTGAGCCTCCTGAGTCACTGGGATTACAAGTGTGTGCCACCATGCCCAGCACAACTCACCCTTACAGGAATTAACTAGGGACCCAGGGGACTACGTAACCTTTTACAAGAGCATTCCCCCAGTGGTCTAACGAATTCCCATTAGGTCCCTCCTTTTAAAATCCCACCACCTCTTAACATTGCCACACCAGGGACCAACCTTCCAACCCATGAACCCTTTGTGGACACGCTACCCTCAAACCAAAGCAGGGTATTCTAAATTTCAACTAAATACTAGACAACCAAGTAGAGTTGCTGCTGGGCATCTACTTCTGGAGTTTGGGGAGACTCCATTTAGTTCTCCAGTTGGGGAGACCTCTCATTTAGAGGTCTAAATTTTGGAGTCATCAGCATATAGATGACATTTAAATCAACTAGATGGGATATCACTGAGGAATAACTATATTTAAATACCTTTATTAGAGAATGTATAAAGGCCAAAGCAGAATAGCAAAGGAGACTGGGGGGTAAAAAAAAAAAGAGCTGCCAGAAGGGTTAGAATCAAAACAGGCAAGTGTGGAATCCTGGAGGCGAAGAGAAGCACGTCTTTCAAGGTCTAGTGCTGATGGTAAAGTCTAATGCTGAGAATGGACCATTAGATATAACATCATGGAGGTTATTTGTGGTCCTGAGCAGACCAGATGAGCATATGAATAAAACCAAATACATAGATGTAGAGGAAGGGCACAGGCCACATGCTAGGCTGTCGCCCTGGATGTGTCCATCACAGCATTTCTCCTACCCACTATCCTCTTCTGAAACACAGCTTTCCCTGGCAGACCCAGGCTATTCCTTGCACATGGTCGTCTTACTCAGTGTCACGTGATGGGGAGCCCTTGGCCCAGGAGAGGGTCTGATACAGAAAGATCTGCCAGCCCTATAAGGTAACCTCTCTGAGATGTGCGGAGATAGGCTGACATCAGTAGCCTCCAAAGCTGAGGGACTACGTGAGCAGATGTCACAAGGAAGGCCACCATGAAGCATAAATGGGCTGCAGTCTCAAGTGGGCAGAAATCATGAGTCTGAGCAGAATTTATGGCATAGAAAAATGACATGCAGACCATAGAGCATGGTGGCTGCCTGCTAGCAGTAAGGAAGCCCCACAAGAAGAAGCCAAGAGAGTGGCGGCATCACACAGATGGC